TACATCATACGCAGCCCGACCATAGAGGGAGAGGCCCACCGATTTTAGCGAGTTGGGGATTGACAAAAAGGGCAAATCAACGGCTTAACTCATAGTATAGTATGGTTGCAAATCAGCCCCTCAACTCATCTCATCATCTCATCATCTCATCATAGTATGGATACAAATCAGCCCTTATGTACGGCTGATGTCAGAGGCGGGTTAAATCCGACGGACACTAATTAGGCGTGCTCCATTGATGGAATGGCGCTGTGGTGGAATTTTTTTTTATCATTTTGGCGCTGAGTTGGCAACTTGGGCGAGATGTTTACCCTAATCATTACCGTTACTAATCAAAAACCCTAGTAAACACTAATAACATATTAGTTGAACTAGGGTATACTCAATTTTGTGGCTTCTCTTTTAGCTCTCGCTTTCCACTTTCTTCCCTAAAACCCCAGACGTCTCAACCATGGCATGGTTGGGTCGCCTGCGAGTAGCTGCCGCCTCCGCCACACTGCAGGTAAAGCCGCTTCGCCAAATGGTTCGTGGGTATATATATGGATCGGCAGCGGCGGTGGAGCTTGATTACGATGACGACTATGATTACTACGAGGACGAGCAGTTTCAGTTGAAGCTTGAAAACCATTTTTTTTTAAGTGCAAAAGGGAACTATTATAAATGCAAATTATCAAGTGAGATACACAGAGTTTCCTGCCAGATCGTGGCAATAAGTTACATAACAGATTTGAGGAAAAAAATCAAAAATAGAAAGGAGCCGGGGTCCTACATTGAAGCACCTAACTTGGCCGAAACACCTGCAACCTCGCTGCCTTCTCTGTAAACATGAGATATCTGCACTTCTTCAAATAGGCTGAGAAGAGATGTTCAAGAATCAAATTCACTCTTGAAAACTTTATACAAATTAATACGACTATGATTACTACGAGGACAAGCTGTTTCGGTGGATCTTGAAAACTTTATATTCTAACCAAATTCCTCATAAGAGATTCATCGAAGGTAAAGAGTTCCCAGATCACCAATATTACATATCACTAACTAATGACAATTTTTATTTGTGTCCCAACATGATATGACATGTATTAAAACAATATATTATTGATCACTTCTTGAAATAAATAGTCTCCAGTAAAGCTAGGAGAATAAGGATAGTAGCAACAATCTGAGAAAAAATGGCCCACGGCTTCGCAAGATAATTGCGGATATAAAAAGCTCGCCATTTAGGCCACAATTTCTGCTGATATTCATTCACTTCCCAGCAAAGCTTCCGGTAATGAAAGTCTTTCAACAAAGCACCATGGTATAGCATCTTAAAGGACTGTATCGTGTCATGTGGGTTAAGACAGTTGATAAGAATCCCACTCTTGCTGAGTTCTTCCATGTCCTCTTCATTGTTGATAAGGTTGTCCAAGAGTGCAGAATAGCTTGTAACTATGGGAGGACAGTTTGAATAACATTGCTCGTATCTGATCAGATTTCGCAAGGCAGGTTCAGTGGTTTCTTTGACGAGAATTGATGGCATTTCCAGAGTGCCTCTCCTGAATTTGACATCCAGGATGCTTGGTGATGTCACTTTCCTGAAACTGATTCCAGATTCTTTGATGCTGGTGGCAGAAGGAATAGGCCGCCATGATACAGATGACTCTTCTTGGCCTTGCTGCTCTCCAAGTGGCAACACCAAAGAACTTCTTAACAAATCAAGAATGTGCTGGATTTCTTGATTGGCAAAGAGAGATAGGTGTATAGGAGATTTCTCAGATGAAAAAATGTTGTCGAAGAAAACCAAGGCGAGTTGAAGTAAGGACTTGGTTTCAAATGAATCACGTGTTAAGCTAAACAGAAGCTCAAGCACAAACCAGGGTATTTGATTTTCCAGCAAAATCAAGTCATGGTATAAGAACTGAAGCATACAGGAAGTAGAGAAAATAGGATCATTTTCACCTTTCTGAACCACTCCAGCATCCTTCCTG